TAGTCACCGTTGAGTTGACCCTCATCGATGGTGGCCTCAAGGCTTAGAGTTTTCAGAAGTAGGTCACCATGTGCTGCTGAGTAGACTCGAACTTACAACCTCCCATTAACTGTTTGCACTACCCAAAGACACTATTCTTGTTAATTGCTTCCAATTCTAACAGGAAGACAATAGTATAAGGAGGGACAACTACAACAGAACCCAACATTTCTGAACTATTGAAGCTACAGATTTTATAAGAGTATTACCATTACTTTGGTTTTGTTGGGTATAAAAGATTTGTGTTTTTGTAAAATTATTTTAGATCTTTGGGTCTTAGATTTCTTTTCCCTTCTTCAGTCTTTTGCTTTTGCTGTAAGTTCTCCTGTTTCACTTTGATCTTTGGAGATGGGAGAGACACATCAGAATTCACTTTTAACTCCGTTCACTGTGGAACCTCCTTTGTGAAACCTTTTTTTACTAGAATTAGATTGGGCAGAATAAAATTCCATTCACCTTGATAACGTTTCCACTTACTCACGAGATAAGTTAACAGCAATCCTTAGCAGAAGGCTTCATAGGGGTCTAGTACAGCCATCTGGCTTCTGTGTTTCTCTACACATGGTGGAAGCCAAACCAGACCAGAGCTGATACCTACTTCGTGATGCCTCTTCTCCTCAGATTCCAAAGACGTCTTTGCATCATTTTCATTTCTAATACCACCCTCAGCAAGTCAAATGTGCTCAAATTGCAAAGAAAAAAAAAGGAAGTGTTTCTATTTGGATTGATAAACCCATGCTTTGGGGTTTCCAATGCTTCCATACCTGTAACAAAGCTGGCAGTTTTTGGACATGAACAGGAAAACAGCCTAGTTAGATCTGATTAGCTCTATTAACAGGAACCTGAGAGTCTGAAAGATGTTCTTATGGTTTCCACATTATAATGAAGCAGAGGTGACTCTCTATAATAAACCACCACTCCCCAAAATTGGGAAATGAGAGCTGGCATGTCCAGCATCCAAGACTGAAGTCCTCATAATGTGTGTCTGTGCTGGCATTTGAGGACATGCACAGGACACAATATAGACTGTTTCTACCATTTAATCTTGGACGTTTAAACCAAGGAGCCTTTTCAGACAGAGAAGAGGGATGTTTAATTCCTAGGTTCAATTAAGTAAATTGGATTTTGGTGGGGGATAAGAAAAATAAAAATCATTAGACATTATATACAGATAGAATTGCTCAGATCTCCCTGTAAGACATTGTTCTGGGTACCCTTATGTCTTCTGGCTCTTCGGGCCATGATGGCTCAGTGGTAGAGTTCACTCTTTCCATGCTGAGACACAGGTTTGATTCCCAGCCCGTACAATTCATGCACAACTAGCACCTGTCTGTGGTGTTGCTACGATATTGAGTAAGTTTTATGGGCTAGGGGAAAGGCCGGGTGATCTCTGTCAGAAAACCAGCCATTGGAAACCCTGTGGGTCACAGCGATCAGATCTGAAGCTGATCATGCGGATGATGCAGAGCCGGGCAGCAATTTGTTCCTTTGTGCACGGGTCTGTCATGCTTTAGATTGCCAGAGAACAGCAATAATGTTTTCTAGAGCCACAGAAAAGAATCTTCCTACATCTGCAAAAGACAGTGTAAGGCCCAATTCTAAGGGGTTTGGTGGGTACTTTTTGCCTAGGGTGATGTATTGAGGATTTGTAGGACATCTGATAGAAGAAAAGCAAAGTGCCTGTTTTAAGAGCCTGGATTCTGAAATGAAATTGCTGGGGTTTGGATCCTAGCTCCTCTTCTTTTATTTATTTCTCATTAAAATCATATATTTTTAAAACTTAATTGTTTACATGTATTGATTGCTTAGCCCTGTCTAAGGCTCAGTTTTTTCATCTGTACAGTAGGAAGAGTAATAGAACCATCTTCATCAGCTGTTGTGAAATTCAATAAAATAATCCTGACATGTTCTTGGCTTATGAAACAAAGGCCAAAGCCAAAACCAAATCCATTGCCATCGGGTTGATTCTGATTTCTAGGGAGCGTATCGAACACAGTACAGTGGTCTTCACCTGATTTCCAAAGCTGTGATTCGTTATCCAAGCAGACTGACACATCTTACTCTGCTGGAGCAACTTGCGGCTAGAAACAGCATCCCTTTGGTTTGCAGCCCAGTGCTTTAACCACTGCACTTTAAACAGGGCTCCTCATGTGGCCCATAAATTCATTGCCATCCAATTGATTCCAACTCCTAGCAACCTTATTATAAATCTCTATGGGTGCAGACAGCCTCATCTTTCCCCGCTGGAGTAGCTGATGGGTTTAAACCTCCAACCTTGTGGTTAGCAGCTCATCACCTAACTTACAATGCCACCAGGGCTCCTGTGTGGCCAGTTGTTGTTTATTGACGTTGAGTTAGCTCTGACTCATAGCAACCCTGTATAGGGTTTCTGAGGAGCAGCTGGTGGATTTGAACTGCCGACCTTGAGGTTTGCAGTTCAGTGTGATCTTACAGCATCGCACCAGGACATGGCCCATTGTTGTTGTTAAGTATTGTCAAGTCGGTTCCAACCCTGTTTAGGGTGTCTGAGGAGCCATCCTTGCAGTTCAAATTGAGCACTGCTTTATTCTGCAGCACCACACCAGGACTCGGCATTAAACCAAACAAAGCCCAACCTGATGTCATGAGCCGATTTCCCACTGATGATAACCCCACAAGTTACAGTAGAACTGCTCCTCAAAATGGCTTTGTATATATTCTTCAACAACATAATCTTTAAGGGGTCCTGATGTAGCGTTGTGGGTTAATGCACTGGACAGCAAGGTCCGTTTGAACCTTAAGGTCAGCGGTTCAAGTTCACCAGCTGCTCCTCAAAACCCTATACAGGGTCTCTATGAGTCAGAAATGACTCAAAGGCACTTCATAACAACACCATAACCTTTAAAGAGGAGTCCTAGTGTGGCGCTGTGTGTTACTGCACCAGACTGCAAAGCCGTTTGAGCTGCAAGGTCGGTGGTTCAAGGTCACCAGCTGCCCCTCGAAGACCCTATACAGGGTTGCAATGGGTCGGAATCAACTTGACGGCACTTCACAACAACAATCTTTAAAGAAGCCAATCTTTGAACTGCCTTTATGTTCATAGTCTGTTGTAACTTCTTGTTGTTGTGAAGTGCCGTCGAGTTGATCCCAACCCATAGCCACCCTGTGTAGGGTTTCCGAAGAGCAGCTGGTGAGTTTGAACCGCTAACCTTGCAGTTCAAACGGCTTTGCAGTCTGTTGTAACTAGTATTAACTAATTACACCAATTCATAATGCTTTCCTTAGCAAGCGGAGGAACAGCATGTGAAATAGTTCAACATACAGAAGTCTGAGTTTAAATCCTAAAACTGGGTTTTACCACTCAGAGAAGTTATTTTTTCTTCTCTAAGCCTCACGCTTTCACTTGTGGAATAGGAATCATGATAAAGTCAATATTATAGAGACGTTATGAAAATGAATTGAGATTGCCCCTGTTCAGTGCTTAGCATGGTGCTTGGCGCATATTAAGCGCTCAGTAAATGTTTGCTAGGATTTTTAGACTCGTGTAAGTAAGTGAACTGGGAGGAAGTTCCAGGAAGAGTGTGATTTTGGAAGCACGGCTTTTCTGGAGATGATTCAATGGCTGTAGCTGTTTTGTTGTTGGCAGATGTGGTCTCCCTCCTTGACTTCCCTTACGCCTCCAGCGGAGAAAACACGGGCATCGTGAAGAAGTTTCTGCGGTTTCAGAACCGAGAGCTGGAGGCCACGCGTCGCCAGCGGATGGATTACCCAGTGTAAGAACGCATGAGGTCGCTGCTGGGTGGCGGGGGACGGGGCTCCTTTTATCTGAGGGTCAGATTCTGGGAGTGGAAAGCTGGAAGGTATCTTGGTAATCAAAATGTTGGGGCCAACATACCTTAGAATTGGTCAACCTTTTCTTGAGTTATTTTAGCACTTCGCAATTCTCAAGTTGCCTGGGACTTTTTACATCAGTCCTGAGTAGGGGACCAAGATCTTGCGTGGTTTCAGGCTCAGCTGGCCAAAGCCAACATCAATTGCTTTACCTGTTGTATCTTGGAAGATTGGACTAAAAAAATAAACAAACAAAATCCCCCAATAAAAAACAGTTGCCAGTGAGACAGTTCCAACTAATGGCGAGCCCCTGTGTCAGAATTGTGCTCTAAGGATTTACAATGGCTGATTTTTATTTTTGAAGTAGATCAAGCCTTTCTTCTGAAATACCTTTGTATAGACTTGAAACCCCAACCTTTCCATTAGCAGCTGAGTGTGCTGTTTGTACCATTTGGAGGCTCCAAGATTGGACTAGCTTGAAACTTCCCAAAGTTAGAGCTCCTCTGCTGACTTCAGCAAAATCTATGTCTCTATGTTTCCCTCTGTGGAATTGAAGATACTGAAGTTGGTTCCTCGTTCACCTCAGACTGGATGGATTTAGCAGAGTGATTTAATTCTTCCCATGCTGCTGGCTGTAGACAGATCTTGAGTCACTTTTCTGAGCGTATGCTCTTGCTAAGCCTCCTTGTAATAACTTATTTTCATGAGCTTGCTCAGCTGGGTGGGCCAGGAGGGAGCTGTGTGGCACCATCTGTTTGCAGAACTTACCACTGATTTTGAGGCCAGAGTAAAAAGCCCAGCCTACTGCAAAGGATTTGTTTGGCTAGATCCCCAAAGAATGTAGGGCTCCTGTTACTTTAACCCAAACTGTGAATTGGAGTCTGGGTAAATGGAGACAAATTGATGGACTGGTGTTTGCCCTTGATTCATGTTTAATGTACAAAAAAACACAGTTACTTCCAGCTCCTGATCTTTGAAAGGTCCCTAGTTGGCAAAAGCGGCTAGAGCTCTGGTGGCACAATGGGTAAGCACTTGGCTGCTAATCAGAAGGTTGGCGGTTCTAAACCACCAGCCACTCTGTGGGAGAAAATAACTGCTGATCTACTCCTGTAAAGGTTGCTGTTGTTAGGTGCCGTCGAGTTGGTTCCAACTCATGGCAACTTTATGCACAACAGAACAAAATACTTCCTGGTCCTGTACCAACTTTACAATCGTTGTTATGCTTGAACCCCTCGTTGCTGCCACTCTGCCAATCCAGCTCGTTGGGGGCCTTCCACTTTTTTGCTGACCATCATTTTACTAAGCATGATGTCCTTCTTTAAGGGCTGATCTCTCCTGATATTATGTCTGACGTATGAGAGACAAAGTCTGGCCATCTTGGCTGCTACGAAGCATTCTGTCTGTACTTCTTCCAACACAGATTGGCTTGTTTTTTTGGCAGTCCATGGTACTTTCAAATTCTCCTCGAACACTGTAACTCAAATTCATCAGTTATTCTACGGTCTTCCTTATTCACTGTCTAGATTTCACATGCATATCAGCTGTACTTTAGTCCTCAAACTGACATCTTTGCTCTTCGACAGTTTAAAGAGTTCTTGTGCAGCAGATTTGCCTAATGCAATATGTTGTTTGATTTCTTGACTGCTGTTTCTCTGAGTGTTGATAGTGGATCCAAGCGAAAGAAAGTCTTTGACAACTTCAGTCTTTTCTCCATTTATGATGATGTTATTATCCCTAGGCTGTTAAGATTACAGCGTAGGAAAATGCATGGAGCAGTTCTACTCTGTCACATAGGAACTGTCACAAAATGACAATAGCTGACTAAAGGTGCTTTGAACTCACCCAGTGACTCTGGACAAAAGGGCAGGCAACTTGTTCTCATAAAGAGGACAGCCAAGAAAATGCTGTGGAGCTCAGTTCTGCTCAGTAACACATGGGGACACCACAAGTTGGGATTGACTCAACAGCAGATAACAAGCACCACCTCTTCTTTGGTTTCTTAGTCCTTAACACACTTCGTACTTTCAAGTAGGTGTTGAGCAATATTTGCTTCATGATTGGATGACCAGGTGATGGATCACAACTTCCCGTGACATGCATCTTCCTTAAGTCAGCCACTGTTGTATCCTCACTTCATGGATTACAACACACACATTTTTTTCCCTCTCCCTCTCAACTCAAATAGCCCCCAGTCCAGGCATGGAATAATTAGATCCTCTGTTCCATATTGCTCATCCTGAAATGTGGTCCTGAACAACCTAACGTGTGCATTACAATAATGCCTATGTGTCTCCATTATTTTAGGGTGAGGCCACTGTGCAGAGTATTAGCTTTTTTTTTTTTTCTACCTTCAGGCTTTTATCTTTGAAAGAAACAAAATTGCTCAAAAAGCCCTAATTATGTTTTTTCTTTTAATCATTGAAATTAGAATAGCTTCTTATCAAATCACCTCTTATTAAAATCCACATTTTTATTCTGTGTCTGGTTTTATAAGCCTTAATCAAGAATTGAGATGGCAGGCACGTGAGATTCTCAAAGACACAGAAACAGAGGTTTTGGTGCGAGGTAGGATGTCTGCTAGTTTTGCACACAGACATTCAACTCCTGTCTGTTGCTGTCAATTCCTTTGTTTCAAAAACTCAAGCTTTGCAAGCCAATCTCCCACAATGAGCACGAAGGCAAGCCCATCCCTCCATTGGAAAGAAAGCAATTTACTCAATCGTTGTTAACTATAATTACTTGTTCTTGGATGATACCAATCTGCAGATTTTTTTTCCTCCTTCACTCTTGCAGGTTTACCATTTCATTGTGGCTTTATTTACTCCGTTATTGCAAGGCCAATCTCTGTGGGATTCTGTATTTTGTTGATTCTAATGAGATGTATGGCACACCTTCTGTGTTTCTCACTGAAGAGGGTAAGTATACAACAGATCCTTGAAGAAGATGTTGTTGTTCTCCTACACTCTTTCTAGCCATGGAGAGCTTTCCTTACACTAAGGAAGCTATCTGTCAACATGACAATTCAGTGAGATTGATGGCTTTCAAATACGGGCTTCAACTTCAACTTGAACCAAAGTCTTCTTTTCAAAGGAATGCATGAATGGGTGTTTTGTTTTGCTTAAAAGAAGATGGATTTAGCCTAGAGCTTCTTTAAAATAACTATTAAGATTTAACTCCTGCATTCTCTTCTAAGTTATAATAATAATAATAATAATAATTATTATTATTTTGGTCATTTTCATGAACTTTCATTTTCTTTTTAGGCCACTTGCATATTCAGATGCATCTTGTCAAAGGAGAAGACCTTGCTGTGAAAACTAAATTTATCCTACCTTTGAAGGAGTGGTTTCGGCTGGATATCTCTTTCAGTGGAGCCCAGGTATCTGTATGCAGACTCCTTCATCATTATTTGTCTTGTCAGCATAGTCACTTACAGTGAAGATTGCAGTGGGAGTTCTCCGGTAGAATTCGCACCTTCCATGCTGAGACTCAGGTTCGATGCCCCGCCCAGTGCACCTTACTCACCTGTCATTGGAGGCATGAGTGGCACCATGATGCTCAGTAGGCTTCATCAGAGCTTACTGACTAAGGTGGACTACAAAGAAAGGCCGGACATTCTACTTCTGAGATTCAGCCAATGAACACCCCACAGACCACAACAATCCAATCTGCAGCTGATGATGGGGTGATGTTGGTCCCAGTTGTGTTTTGTTTCATTGTGTGTGGGTCACCGTGAGTTGGGGACAGACTCTGGTGTGATGTCAGCTAACAACAACATTGTTATAAAATTTGTTGTGGTAGTGTGTCTCGAAGTTGGTTCCTACTCATAGTGACCCAGCATAGGAATTCCGAGGCTGCAAATCTTTCCATGAGTTGAAAGCCTCATCTTTCTCCTGCAAAACGGCTGGTCATTTCGATCTGCTGACCTTGAGTTAGTAGCCTGACTCATAACCACTATTCTACCAGAGCTTCTTTTGTTATAAAATTAGGAAGCAACAGAATCTGCAAAAGCAAATGTGTGGTAAATGCTAGATTTTTGGTGTGGTGCTATGGGATAAAGCACTGGACCACATGGTCGGTTTGAACCAGGAAGTCAACAGTTCAAACTCACCAGCCGCACCTTGGAAAGTATACAGGGTCACTGTGAATCAGAGCTGACTTGATGGCACTTAACAACATACCCTTTCTGAATCAAATTTTTATAGATGGAAGTTTAAGTCATAGGAATCCTATCCCATTTAATTAGCTTTTAAAATGCTTCTTTTGACTGTGTTTTGAATGAGTAAATAATGCAGTTAGGTAGCCATAATTATCTGAGCATTTCAGCCGTTTCCCCTAAGGCAATGGGCCTTTGTAGAAATAAATGTACAAACAATATTTGCCAAGTTTATATAGTGCTATCAGATCTACAGCTTTTTTACCCCCTCAAAATAGAAATTCATTGGTTAGTTCAGCCAAGAAACGGTTTGACTGATTTTAGCAGTTGAAACAATTGCTTAATGTTTGAATTATACAGACAAATCATAGCCAACACACATCAGTGACAAGTCTGGTGAAATCGAGATTCTATCTAAAAGCTTTGGTATTGTTGTTGTTAAGTGCCCTTGAGTCAATTCCAACTCATAGTGACCCCATCTAGGGTTTCTGAGAAGCAGTTGGTGGGTTTGAACTGCTGACTTTATGGTTCTCAGTCCAGTGCTGATCCTACAGCACCACCCCAGGAGTCCCATATAAAAGCCTACATATAAACTTTTTCAAACTCTCCAAACACAACTTGTCTGGCTTATATTTTACATAGAAGCTGTTAAAATTGAAGGTGGTTCTATTTCTTGGTCCACATGATGCTAGTTAGCCTCCTTTATTTATTAATTTTTTTTTACCAGCTTTTCTTATTGATCTGTGATTTTCCTGTAACAAACCTGGAAAAAACATTTTGTATGTCACTTCCCTTGGTGGTTCCATCTATCACATTAACTTTTCCCAAAGACAAAAGAAATCAGGTCAGTCCTGGATTTCTTCCTAAAATCGCCCTCCTTTCTGAAATGTGTCTGTGGATTGTTAGCTGGGGTCTTTCTGTGTGTCATTTGTTTCCTTTAAAATGATGAGGTGATACAGCACTGGTCCGAGTTTCAGCTTCCCACCTGCATGAGGTCATGATGGTATTGTCGTTTGCCACTGCTTTCTCCTAAGGAGAGGTCTGTCACTTTGACAGGTATCAGATCATCAGAGCAAATTCACAGATCTTATTTTGCACCTGCTGTATGCAAGGCGCTGTGCTTAAGGAAGGAAATGTGCTCAATTTATGGAAATAATATTACACAGATGAAAGGCTGTCACAGAAGAGCCTAATTGCCCGTGATTCATATAGATTCATAGAAGAGAGACAGCACTTCACGCTGGGACACTCAAGAGAAGGTTTCTAAGGAAAGTTCCTATGTCTAGGCCGAATTGAGATGGAGATGAGGAGAGAAGGCTTTCCAGCACATCTATGGTATGGGGGTGAGCTGAGAAGCTACTGTGAGTAGAGATTTCAAAGGTGTAAAAGATGAATGTTGTTGTGTGCCTCTGAGTCGATTCCATCTCATAGTAACCCCTTAAGGACAAAGGAGAACTGCCCCATGGGATTTTCTTGGCTGTCATTTTTACAGGAGTAGATTGCTGGTGGGTTCAAAGCACCATCTTTTCAGTTAGCAGCCAAGCATTTAGCTATTGTGCCACCAGGATTCCTTAGAAAACTAATAGAGAAGACAAAACTAAAAGCCTTCTGGAATAGACGTGAAGATTCTTGAATATCAGGAAACTTGGATTTTAACTGTATAAAGCAATAGGACATCTTTGAAGTTTTTGGGCTAGAAGTATCCAATCTAAGAAGTCCTTTAAAGAGATTAATTGAAAGCAGGGTACAGGATGCAGCAAGACAAGAGAGAATAATTTGGGAGATCAACTGGGATGTATAGAAAGTAGTAAATATTTGTAAGTGAATTTGTTGTCCATGTAAATGTTGACTCCAGTCTCAATGAGTCCAGGACATCTGGATTCCATGAGACTTTAACATTCCGTTCAGCATTTCCCCCCTTTTGATCAGGATTCTTCTGTAGAATCTTTGACCAAAGCATTCAGTAGGTGATCACTGTCTAGTTCTTCTGGTGAGTTGGGTTGGCTTATATGGACTGGTTTGTATTTCATAGATGTAGTGTTGTAGCTACGTCTTTGTTCTAGAAGCCAGCAAATGTTCGCAAGCACTGGTTCTGTGTTAGCACAGGGAGCTCAAAAGCAGCCCCTCAGCTCCATAGGCTCTTGTGAGAGTCCAACAAATGAGAAGAACACATATGTGTGACAGCTAACAACATTCATGTTAACATCATTGTCACCATCGAAATTGGAGTGACAATTCTGGATGATTAAGGAGGGGGCTGGGAAAGAGCAGTGCATGAGGAAGTTACAAAACCAATTTTGTTTTTTCCCTTAAGGCATTCATGGAATTAGAGTAAAAAAAATTAAACTCCTTGTAGTATCATACACATTTCTTTGTGTTTCTACGCAATCAGCTCTTAGGCGCAGGAAATATATCACAGGAAACCTTGGGAGTTTGGAAGGCTCTGAAAGCCACTGGGGAGACTTTGTAGGTGTGTTTACACACCAAGTCATTTGGCGAACTTACATTTCTCATATCTTAAAATATACACAGGGTTGGTGTGGCGCTGTAGGGTGAACACTGGACTGCTAACTGCAAGGTTGATGGTTCAAACCTACCAGCTGCTTCTCGGAAACCCTACACAGGTCACTGTGCATCTCGATACTAACTCAATGGCACTAATAGCAACAACAGGTCAACTGTTAATTTTATTTTGCACAGCTGATCAGGAGGAAAGCTACCAGGCACATTGCTAATGTTGTTAAGTGCCGTTGAGTCAGTTCCCACCCAAAGCTAGTCTGTATAGGTTTTTGGAGGCTGTAAATCTTTCCTGGAGCAGAAAACCTCATCTTTCTCCTGTGGTGCTGCTGCTGGACTCGAACTGCCAACCTTGTGGTTCACAGTCCAGTGCTTATCTTGCAGAGCCACCAAGCTGCCACCAGCACATTAGATGAGTAGTTTATATCAAGGTGTGTATTTATGGTGTGGGGGATGGGCCGCAGCTGATCCTTGTGTATTTCTTTCCCAACACAGATAGTGGTGACCACCAGCATTGGGCAGGATTTGAAAAGCCACCATAATCAGACTATTAGGTAAGTGCAAGGTTTTTATTTTGCAGGATGATGCTTAAGGAATTTCTGTGCTTTACCACGCAATCGTAATGCTATTTCCATACCTGCTCATTCAACTTTTCTAAGCATTAATTCTCCTCTGCCCTGTAGCTAGCTGGTCTTTGTACTTTAAAAAAAAAAAAAGAAGAAAGAAATCCATGAACTTTCTGTTCTTCCCACCCCCAGCCTCTTTTCCTAAACAAGAAAAACTAGTTCTCTCTCCTGCTGTCATTGTAAATTCTTCCTTTTCACGACACTTTATAATTCATTTTCTTTGAAAATGATCTTCGGCAAAAAATTCTGAAAAATAAATCAAAATATTAGTGTTACTTATTGAGAATGGTTGGTAACTTTGGCCCAGTATAAAGCATAAAAGCAGACAGTCTTCATATTTATGTTTCCAATCTAAATTTGAAATGTACGCAGCTATTGGTATGGGTGTAACTTTGCAGCCTTCTATCACCATTCTGCACAATAGTTACAGAAACTGAGACTTGGGACCCTGGCCTTGTATTTCAGAATTTTTAAAGTTTTGCTTCTACTTCCATATATCATATTAGGTTTTATAGTGTCAAGTCCAGGAGGTACTCTCCCCAGATAGCTTAGATACTCAGGATTCCTCCTCCTAGACCGATAAATGGAGAAAAGATTGAAGTTGTCAAAGACTTCCTTTTGCTCATTTCAACCATCAATACTCATGAAAGTAGCAGTCAAGAAATCAAAGGATGTATTGCATTAGGCAAATCTGCTGCACAAGACCTCTTTAAAGTGTAAAAGGGCAAAGATAACAGTTTAAGGACTAAGGTGCGCCTGACACAAGCCATGGTATTTTCAACAACCTCATATTCATGCGAAAGTTGGACAGTGAATAAGGAAGACCGTAGAAGAGCTGATGCATTTGAGTTATGGTGTTGGCCAAGAGAACAAATAGATCTGTGTTATAAGAAATGCAGCCAGAGTGCTCCTTGGAAGCCAGGATGGCCAGACTTCATCTTTCATACTTCAGACATATTATCAGGAGGGACCAGTTACTGGAGAAGGATATCATGTTTGGTAAAGTGGAGGGTTGAAGAAAAAGAGGAAGACCCCCAACGAGATGGATTGGCTCAATGGCAGCAGCAATGGGCTCAGGTGTAACAGTGATCTTGAGGGTGGTCCAGGACCGGGCGGTGTTTCCATCTTTTGTGCATAGGGTTGCTGTGAATCTGTACCAGCTTGTGGCACCTAACAACAACAACAAGCTAGATAATATACATGGGGGGGGTGGGGGGTGGCCCAAATGTCATTTAAAAGAAAGAAAAGAACAAATGAAAAGATAGTGAACCTTTTTGAAGTCACTTTATATATATAGAACGTTTAAGAATAATTTGAAAGCACAGAAACAAAAATTACCAGCTTTGTATATATAGTTTTAAAAAATATATTCAGGACTGGTGGGCATGTTGACTGAGAAAATATACTATTTTGGTCATTTTACTGCTCCAAGTAGAAGTCTGTTTCTCCAGTTCTCTTAAAAAATGAATATTAAACAATGCAAGGTTAACAGGGGCTAGGTCAGGGAAACAGAGGAAGATACAGTCTCTCTCTCTCTCTCTCTCTTTTTTTTTTTAACACTTCCTGTTCACATTTAAGTCAACTTGTTTCCTTTCAGGTTCTGGGTACATAGAACAATTCTTATTCCCATGGCTGGATTAAAGGATTAGAGTAATATCAAAAGGCTGAAAAAGTATTATGAGTTTGCCTGCAAATAGAAAACTAAGAGGAGACTTGATGGCTATATTGAAGCATAAAAACAGAGAGAACAGAACCGAGCAGACGCCTTAATATGCACCCACGTAGATTGAGGCCAGTTAGAAGTAATTAAACAGATATGAGTCTTAATATATAACTAGTGGCTATTGGATTTTCTCAGAAGAGTTCGAGAATAGGCAAAGGCTGAACGAAGACGTGATCTGTGGCTTGTTTGGAAATCTTTTACGGAGCCACGTTTGTGAAATGGGACCCAGATATTTAGGACTTGTGTTTCTGGCATGCAGTTTAAAATAATGGCATCTTTTTTTTTCTCTGACCTCCATCCTCAACAACTGGACATTTTTTTTGACAACTGATTGGCCCTCCTTTCATGATCCTAATTCCTCTTAAATCCTAGAGTCCTAGACAAGAGGTCAGGGAAATCTAGGGCTGAGACTAGGATGCAAAAATTTAATGATCATGATCAATAAGATTTTCATGCAAAAATTTTTAAAAATCAAAATTAATGCTAAAAAATCTATGATAATGAAAATATAGAAAACTTTAATAAAGATGTGTCAGTTTGATGATATCTGATACCAGTGTTCAGGACTGGTTTTCATGTACATACCAATTCAACCTCCCAGTTAAACAATTAAAATGATTTCTTTCTTATTAATAGTGGCAGTCCCTGGCCTAAGCTGCTCCTCCTCCTATATCCTGGTGTTGTTGTCGTTGTTAAGTGCCGCTGAGTACCCCTCCAAGAAGGGAACAACTAAAGAGTTAATAGAGTATGGCACTGTGGACTGCAAGGTGGGTTTGAGCTGCATAGTCGGTGGTTCAAACTCATCAGCCACTCCTCGGAAACCCTATACAGGTCACTAGGAGTGGGAACTAGATGGCATTTAACAGCAACAACAACAAAGAGAATGCTGTGCCCAGCAGGGGACACCCAGCACTGGCTGGTCTATGTTCTGATTGGTCAAAACCCCTGAGGTTCCTATGGTTACCTGTTGCCTTTGAATCTAAGGAGACTTATGGTGACCTTATGTGTATCAGAGTAGAACTGTGCTCCACAGGGTTTTCAGTGGCAGTTTGTTTTGGAAATAGATTACCAGACCTTTCTTTGCAGGCGCCAGCCTTTCTGTTAACAGCCAGGTGTGTCAGCCGTTCACAGAACACAGAGACTCCTGGAGTTCCTGTGGTTAGGTGTTTTGAACTGTATCCTTACTTTCGGAGTGGAACAATCTAGTGATTTATATATCGAATATTTCTGGTTAATGGTTATAAGTAATCGAAGGAAAGCCATTTGTTGTGGTTGTTGTTATGTGCCGTGGAGTCGGGTCCGACCCATAATGACCCTGTACAGGGTTTCTGAGGCTGTAAATCTTTATGGGAGCAGAAAGCCTTATCTTTCTCCCACGGAACAGCTGGTAGTTTCGAACTGCTGACCTTGCAGTTCATAGCTGGATTCGTAAGCCACTTAGTGCCCCCTTTTATTTGTTCTTGAGACACAAGCCTAGTGACTGTTGTTAACCTTCATCAGTGGTGCAGGAGGTGAAATGGAACACACAGCTGTCACCAGGTGACAAGTATTAACAGCAGACTTAACATGCTATTAGCTTCATTCATTCCTCCAGCTTATTCAGTGGACACTGACCACACACGGGGCCGAGCGCTCTGTGTTAGGAATAAAATGATGAACCAAAGTCTTTGCCTTCAGAGAGTTGAAAAATCTAGTGGGCAAGAGAGTTATTAAACAAGTCAATTCACAAGTGAATTTATAACTTGTGTGCTTGGGCACTGTGAGAGGACTGAATGGGTGGCCTGAGAGAATTACAAGGGGGTCACACTATGGACCAGGAGGGTCTTTCTTTGGAAGTGACATCTAAGATGAGAAGTACCATAGGACCAGGGACAGGGGTTGGTGGGTGGGTTGGCAAGGCTCTAAGCAAAGGGTGGGGAATGTCCAGCCCTGGAACTGTATTTGTTGTTGTTGTTGTTAAGTGCCGTCAAGTTGGTTCCAACTCATAGCCACCCTGTGTAGGGTTTCCAAGGAGTGGCTGGTGAGCTTGAGCCACCAACCTTGAAATCGAATCGACTTTGCAGTCCAGGGCACTAATCTGCAATGCCACACGAGAAATCCTGGAGCTATGTAGACCCACAAAATCATTTGGTCTGGCCCTGCCAAGGCAACCGCAGTTCCAGCCATCATATTATTGTTGTTAAGTGCCGTTCAGTCGGTTCCAACTCATGGTGATCCTGTATAGGGTTTCTGAGGAGCAGCTGGTGGGTTTGAACCGCCAATCTTGTGGTTCGCAGTCCAGTGCTGATCATACTGCGCCACACCAGGAGTTCAGCCATAACATTTGTGGTTCAGTGTCGTTGAGTCAGTTCTGACCCAGAGCGACTTTGTATAGGGTTTCTGAGGAGCATCTGATGAGTTTGAACCAACCACCTTGAGATTCAAACCAACTTTGCAGTCCAGTACATTAGCCCTCACCGCCACATCAGGACTCCGTTAACTCATTAGGGGTGCGTTAATTAAATGTTTGGCCAAATATATCAGGCTAATTTTTAAGTTGAAAATTTTGTCTGGTCCACAAATGATGTTATAAAGTCAGGCAGAAAAAAGGTTCCCCGCCCCTACCTCATATGCATGCAAAAGTTGGACATTTAATAAGGAAGACCGTAGAAGAATTGATGCTTTTGAGTTATGGTGTTGGAGGAGAATATTGAAAGTGCCATGGGCTGCCAAAAGAACATACAGATCTGTGTTGGAAGAAGTGCAGCCAGAGTGCTCCTTGGAAGCCAAGATGGCCAAACTTCGTCTCTCATACTTCGGACATATTGTCAGGAGGGACCAGTCGCTGGAGAAGGATATCATGTTTAGTAAGTTGGAGGGTCAGAGAAAAAGAGGAAGACCCCCAGCCAGATGGATTGGCAAGGTGGCAGCATCAATGGACTCAAGCATAGCAACAATAGTGAGGTTGGCCTAGGACCGGGCAGTGTGTCATTCTGTTGTGCATAAGGTCGCAATGAGTCGGTACTGACTCAATGGCACCTAACAACAACAACAACCCCTACCTAAGCTCTCCTTCCATTGATTCTTAATGAAGTCTATTTTATCAATACCGGCCATTCTGACTACTGGTGCTTTGTGATCATAAACCACATTAGTGTCCTGTGTCCAGTTAAAAGTCAAGATTGCTTGCCAGTGTGTTTGAGTCATTAGAAGGGATGGGCTCTGG